ACTGTGACGCGTGCGCTCGTGATGACAGGCGCACCGTGGCTACCGGGCACAGCGTGAGCTATGGCGTGCTTTTTTCCGACGCAGTTAAACCATCTTATGCCTAAAACCAGAAAGGTCGCCGCTCAGACAGTGCAGCAGCGTGCAATCGCCTTTAGGACAGGCGGCGATAAGACGTCTTGGCTGCGAGACAGAAGCCCGCACAGGCCAGCGCAGGCCAGCAGCCGTGTCTGGCTGTTAAACCGTGCATAGAAGGCCGGCAGCCGACGGGTCCTCCGACCGCAGCTGGCCGCCCCGCCCCCTCACGCACACACACTCACAGACCAGACCGCCTGAGGGCGGCTGGCCGACCTCGTCACACACACACGTACCGCGCCTGAGGGCGGCTGGCTGACCTCGTCACACACACGTACCGCGCCTGAGGGCGGCTGGCCGACCTCGTCACACACACGTACCGCGCCTGAGCGTGGCTGGCTGTCCTCATCACACACACGTACCGCGCCTGAGCGCGGCTGGCTGTCCTCGTCACACACACGTACCGCGCCTGAGCGTGGCTGGCTGTCCTCATCACACACACGTACCGCGCATGAGCGCGGCTGGCTGTCCTCGTCACACACACGTACCGCGCCTGAGCGTGGCTGGCTGTCCTCGTCGCACACACGTACCGCGCCGGGAGAAAGTGTGGCCGTCGGCGGCGGCCGGCGCGGCGCGCGAGAGGAATGCCTGGGACGGCACGAGACCCGCGCCGACCGGCTATCAGCGGCCGCCATCGCACGGCGCGCGACCTATCCAGGTCGCATCTCTATTGTCTCTGGCCGGCCCGAGCGTGGCCCGGCCGCCACACCTCGCTAGACGCGGGGTAATGGCGGGGCGACGCCTGGACCGACCCGAGCGCGGCCCCCGGCCTGGCGACGGCGCCGGACAGCGCTGGGCGGGCACCGGCGGCGCGGGCCAGCGCTGGGCCCGGGTACCAGCTGTCGAACAGCTGTGTTTGTCGTGCACGTGCTCACCGAAAAACGTTCTGGTGCCCATCAGGATGGAGGAGGCGAGCTACACTGGTGCATTTACACTGCATGGGATGCGCGGGAAGCAAACGGAGTGTCATGGGCAAAATGACAGCGAATTCATGTCTCACTGCAGCGCAACGTCACACCGCCAGTATTATAATGTTGTCGTTCTGCGATCCCTATCTGCCCACGTCACCACCTGCCAGCCTCCACGACGCCCCCATATAGCACGCTTCCTCGACGTCCCATTTCTGCCCAGCATATGCAGCATCGAGTCGTGCTGCATGGCCGGCTCGCCAGCCGGGTCCCAGGCATCTCCCGGGTGAGCGTATGCAGCGATGTAGCGGCCGAGACAAATTCGCACCACCCGGATTCTGCTGTATCAGATAGCGTGCCAGACCAGCGCCGAACAGCGGCGGCAGCCGCCCGGGCGCGATGTTCGCGGAACGCGCCAGAGTGCTCCCGCGAGCATTGCCCCGCCAATCGCTGGCACGCCGCCGCTCGGCCCCAGTGCAGCACTGTGCTTGCGATCGCCGTGAGATTACAAGCGCCATACTAGGTGGTGGCAATTGATGCTTGGGTACGTGTCCATTACACCGGGCGTTATCACTCGTGCCAAGGCTTAGAATTGGTGAGTTAACAACAACATCGTGGGTGTTTAAGCGAGCAGACGATTCAGCAAGCAGCTTCTGTAGTGTACCCGAGGTTATCAGGCAGAGAACATGAATCAGCACCCGCGAGGTGAGGGCCGCAATTGCTTTAATAAGTGTGTTCTGCTTTGGGTTTGTTTGGTGAATTCCGCATGGGTTCCATCAAAGAACATTCGTGTGCTTGGAGGTTACTTGCTCTTTGCCTGAGGCGTGTCTTCCACTGAGCCATTCAACCATGGAGGAATTTGCGGCTCACTGAAGGGCTCCTCGAGCGGCCACGAAGCTGCTCTGCAGCGCGCCGAGACGACCTGCGCCTTCTCAACGACACCGCCATCATTCCAGATCGCTCGCCAGCTGATGCGCGCTGGTCGCCATCTGCTGTCCAGAGCGCTGGTGAGCCTCCACGAGAGCGCGAGCACCGGCCATGCGGGAGTGGGCCGGCCGCTGCAGCCTGTGTCCAAGGTCGCCGAGGTCGCCACTGGGACAATCCCGGTCCGCCGCCTGGCAACGGCCACCTGCGCCCCTCGCTGGGCGTCCGGCAGGCTGGCCGCCTCCCAGGTCAGGTCAGGAGACGGCGCGGACTCCCAGGTCAGGAGACACTCTCAGTTCAGGAGACGGTGCGGACTCCCAGGTCGGGAGACGGCACAGACTCCCAGGTCAGGAGGCACTCCCATGTCAGGAGACGGTGCGGACTCCCAGGTCAGGAGGCACTCCCAGGTCGGGCGACGGCGCAGACTCCCAGGTCAGGCGACGGCGCAGATTCTCAAGTCGGGAGAAGATGCAGACTCCCAGGTCAGGCGACGAGACGGAAGATGACCGGGGTTTCGGAAGTTTCGAGCCAAGCGCCTTGGTCTTTATCTTTGACACCAGCCAGCACACACGAGGCGCTTGCTGGTGTCCACGGTCTTCATCACGACTTGGGGACTGTGCCGACGAATGCCTCCGCGCTCATCGAGCGAGGCTGAACGGCCACAATACCAACTGTCTAAACGGAGCCATCGGGCCAGCTCAGTTCGACCCCAACAGCTGTCTTGCCGGCATGGGGCGCGTACCATGCGCCTCTCACCGCCTTTTCAGATCTCTCCCTGCCTCTCCCCGTCTCTCACCACCTCTGCCCGCTTCTCCCTGCCTCTCTCCGCCGGCCGAACACGAAGGACGGCGTGGGGAGCGGCTGCCAGCTGAGAGGCTCAGGTGGTGAAGACGCCAGGACCGGCGCTGGAACGGGTCACGACCGCCAGCTCACCCTGCGCACGGACCAGGGCGCACCGCCACCCACACAGAAGAGGCGGCCAACTGTGGCGCACACTGAACGGCGTGATCGCCCCCTCCCCGGCCCCATCGGCTGTCTGCTGCAAGAGGTCCACGGAGAGGCGTGAAGGCAAAGCGACGACCAGACTCCGCGAGAGTTTTTCTCTGCTCGTCCATCCATCCTGCGTCGTGGCGGGCCGCCCGCTTTCGAATTTCGTGGCCCTGACTTTCGGCACGCCACGAGAAGAGGCTCCAGGTACCGTGACCAGGGAGAAGATACGCCGGTAGAAAACGGACGTCCAGAAAAAGGAAAACTCTTCAGACCTGCAGGGACAAGGCGAGACAAGGCCGGGCATCGGCTCTTGCCGCAATCGTCGCTTGGGCCACTCGTGCTGGCCTGAGTGGCCTGAGTGTTGCTTTCATGCTGCCCCGACTGCCCTGAGTGCTGCTCTTATGCTGCCCTGAGTACCCTCAAAGCTACCGTTATCCTACCCTGAGTGCCCTGCGTGCTGTCATTATGCTGCCCCGAATGCACTGAGTGCTCTACTTATGCTGTCCTGAGTGCCCGAAATGCTGCCCTTATGCTCCTCTGAGTACCCTCAGTGCTGCCTTTATACTGCCCTCAGTACCTTGAGTGCTACCCTTATGCTGCCTGAGTGCCGAGGTCAGGCTGGGGCCGAGTCTACCACCACCTTCCGGACTGTCAGGCCCAGATCCCACTGCCGATAGACCTTGTTCCAATTCACATTATCCCCGTTTTTCCCAAAACTGAGCCCGTCCTGACATCGCAGCTGGTCCGAGCGCCTCCCTTCCGATTCACCCGCCTGTGGCGAGGTAGGCACGAGTCACATGACGCTCGCTATTTGCCCTTGACCTGCATGGCGCGCGGCCTACGGCAACGGTCGCGCTAAAGGTCAGGTGACGTCAGAGCGCAGCACCAGCCGTGCCGAGCATTGCGACACGTTAAGCTTTCGCCGCAAAATGTGACAGTTGACACGGAGATTTGCGGTCGGACGGTGAGGTCGAGTTCACGTAACATGGCCTGCTTAGCGAGATCGCTGATCGCGGGAACCCAGCTCGCCAAACGTCCGGATCTAACTTATACAAACTTTAAGTCTATAGAAATGACACTTAGCGTACGCATTCAGGTGTCTGTTTATCTCGAGCTAGCCTCGACGCGGGAGCCCTAAATTCGACTCCCGTCCTCCCCACGGCCGCATGCGAAGGCATTGCTACACCGCCCAACCAGTACCTCCTGTGGGGTGGTACGGCCGCAGGTGGTGCAGGGGTGGTGCAGCCGCGCACCCCCCAGGAGAGGGGCCAACCCCGCTCCAGAACAGCGTCAGTCCCAGCCGGAGCAGCGCCGGCCCCCTCCCCCTCCCCCCTCCAGAGCAGCGCCAGTTCTCCGCCTTGGCTGCCCGGCCGGCCGTGTTCGGCAGTGGCCAGGCCGGTCATGTTCGGCGATGGCCGGGCCGTGTTCTGCGGTGGCCAGGCCGGGCCGTAGTCGGCGCTGGCCGGGCCCAGCCGTGTTCGACGGTGGCCAGGCCGGGCCCCAGTCGGCGCTGGCCGGGCCGACTGCCCTCCAGCAGAGCTCACAACGGCGGCTGTCAGGGTGTCGGCTGACGCCTGTCCGTCAGGAATGCCTTTACCTTGAGCGCCCGTGTGCCAGGGGAGCCCGAACTCACCTGTGAAACAAGAACAGCGGCTGTCAGATCGGCGCAGCTGGGCACGATTCAAACACATCGGGTAATGGCCAGCGGAGGTGTTTGTGACGGGACAGGCAGCTGAGCACACATACAGGTGGCATAGCAAACAGGCGGCGGGATACCATAGCTCTGTTTATTATCTGTATTACAAACTGCATTGACGCGGACCCTGGCTGACCGGAGACGAGGCCCACGGCAGGCCAATTTGACTGCGATCCGGAACACGTCCGGCGGTGGCGGACCCCGCCGGCGGTGAGTCACGCGCTCGGGTCGGACAAGACTCGGCGAGTCGGGAGCCGCGGCTTGGGTCGCCGCCCGAGCAGGGCCGGGCTGAGCCCGCGCCGAGCGCCGGCCCCGCGGCCCGGGCCGGCCGGCCGACCGGGTCCCACGGGTCCCAGAGGACCTCTCACGGGTCCCAGAGGACCTCCTCCAGGGCGCGGGCCGCGCACCGGCTGACGCCTTCGTTCGGACTTTGGCTCGCATCATCCAGCACGTCACGCTCGGCCCGCAGCCGGCGTCTGGCCTCTGGGTGGGAGGCCAGCGTGGCCAGCGCCTGCAGCGCCAGCATGCGCGCCTCGGGCACGTCCCCCTCCCGCGTCAGCGCCAGCAGGTGATCCAGCATGGGCAGCTGCATGGCCAGCATCTTGGCCGGCGTGGTGACGAGCACGGCGCCGGCGGCGGCGGCCGCCTGCGTGCGCACCGCCGAGTCCCAGTCTTTCAGCAGTCGGACCAGCAACGGCAGAGAGCCCAGCGCGGTGGCCTCATTCTTGCCCTGCGTCGGCAGGCAGAGGTAGTGGAGGCAGGCGGCGGCTGCGGCGCGGATCGAGGACACCTCGGACAGCAAGAGCTGGTTCATGGTGCGCACGCCGCCCAGAACCAGACCGCGGCGGGGGTCCTGGCGGCGGAGACGGGTCGGGTGAGGACGGGTCGGGTGAGGACGGGTCAGGTGAGGACGAGGCGGGTGAGGACGTCATCTGCCATCGGGGACGGGACGAGCTCGCGCCCGTGAACTGATAACAGTCCGCGGCCGAACACGCGGCATCAGCATTTCGTCAGCCCGTTGCGCAGGCTTAACGGGCCCGGTGACGCGGCCCGGCTGGAAGCAAGGTCAGGGGAACAATGTATTTCGCTGAACCGAAAGCGTGACACGGAGCCAATTCCTGCAGACGGTTAACACAATCGCACCTACAAATCCGGACGGCCACTAAAAGCAGAACCGCGAGGAATGATCGGCTGCCGGCGGCCTTCCGGATAAGTGCTTGGGGACAGCGCCTAATCCCGACAGGTCCATGCTGGGTCAGAGCGATATCGGGTCGTGGCGTGGCGCTGGCGCCTGTTGGGCGCCAGAGGGGTCGCCCGGTGGCGGCGGAGGCGCCCAGTCGGCGCCACCGCCGCCACCGAACGCCAATCTGATCACGACTCGAGTGTAATAGATGACCGGGGAGGGTGGGTGGGGAGGGAGGGACACGACCGAACAGCTCGCGAGGAGCCAGTGGAAGCGTCACACAGATAAAAGAAGGCGCTGAAGCGGGGTCCGGGCAACTGGCTGCTTAGGGAAAGTGGCCAAATCAGGACGGAACGGCTCATGAACTTATCGACAAAAACAGTCTACAAAGCAAGGAAGGGCAAGCAGCATTGGGTCGTAGAGAGAGCTGACTGGCGATCCTGCAGCTGGTGCAGCTCCGCGACGGTAGGATAATCCCAAACAGGCCGGAAGGTGCGTCAGAAGAAGCATATGCGATGCCACCAAGACAGGGGAGAAATTACAGGCAGGTCATGACACTGAGATAATGACACAGGAACAGAATGAAACAAGATGACCATAATGCGATACCATTCAAGAAAGGGAAGAAAAAAGCATGGAATATGAGGTTGAGCTGGTGGCACGAGAAGAGAATAAAGCAAATTGGCCAGGGGTTAAGGAGGACAGCAATACTCCGAATACAGTTCAGGATGAAGGCCCTGAAGCCCCAGACGGTGCCAGCCAAGCACACCTCTCTAAGCAGCGGCTGCAGCGAGGTCAGGCAGAGCAGCATGATCTCCCCCAGCTCTGTCAGCAGGTGAGACAACAGCTGCGGGATCAGGTCGCAGGCCAGGCCGGCCTCCACGCCCTCCGGCGTCTTCAGCAGCGCCGTTACCACCTGGGCGCGGGTCAGCACAGGTCAAGGAGTCAAGGTCAGCGCAGGTCAAGGGGCGGCGTCGGCGTGGAGGGACTCGCCGACAATGAGGCTCTTTGTGTCTGAGGCCATTTTGCTTTCGAGTTCTGGGGCAGTTCGGTTTGGATGATGCTAAGCATTCTGGGAGGTATGCATAAGTATCCATTGTTAGGTAAAGGTTTCCTCGCAAAATGGTTTATTGCCTCCTTGCCTGAAGCAGCAGGACACGGGAAAATTAAACCTGAAAACTGAAGTCAAGTCTGGAAGACCTGTACTGAAAACAATCTAAACTAACCTAGCAGGCAGTATGTCTTAGTCCATCCACCTATGCTAAGTTGTCTTGAGGCTTTTCTCTTTCAATTTTGAAGCCAGTTAAATGGGGACAAAATTTGTTCCAACAGATGCAGACAACGAAACATTCATAACGTCGTTAACTCAATGCGAGTCAAACGTGAGCGCTTGGGTCTTGTTGGCTCGTCGCGCCGAAGTATTTGCTCGAAACTACACAAACTTGGACGCACGGTGTTAGAAAAGCTCGTAACAACCGGATCTAATTTGTGGCTGGCGGTGCCTTCAAAATATATTCCCCAGCTTACGCTGATCATCCTATCAACCCTAAAAATTCGCCCACTCCAATACACATGTCAAAACCTGTGACAACCGGCGCATGCGCACACCCGTCGGTGTCGGTGCGTCGCGGCGGCCGCTGAGCGGACCCCGGCCGGGGGGAAGGGGAGGGGGAGGGTGGGGAGAGGGGGAGGGGACCCCGGCCCACCGGCTCGGCCCCCACATCAGCCGTCCGGCCCGTCCACACCCTTCCGCGCCGCCGACGCCGCAGCGTAAACAGCGAGCACGCGTCATCAACGCAGTCACCGACACCTCCCAGTCACGGGCGCACGCAGCGAGGGAGCGTGGAGGCCGCCGAAGGTGGGAGAGGGGGAGAGGACCGTGATACAATGTTTTTGTTGGTGTTGTTGAGATACGCGATCTCCGGTGTCACCGAAGCTGCTCTATCACCCCTCCCAATGCTATGCGCTGGGTGCGCCCCTGCTCTCGGTGATGCCCGACGAGCAGCATGTTCAAGGAAGAGCCGCGTGCGGACAGTGACGCAGGCAGGCTTTATATGCGTCTCGTGTTAAGAATTGCCACCTCGAACATGGGAAGTGCATTACGTGGAACGGAAGACGATGTGATCGTGCACAGCACTAAGATCAGGAAATCTTGCGTCACGTGCAGCGCCCATTGGTGAGATGAGTGGGCGTACATGTCATACGACGGCTTCAGCATCGGGGACGGCTCATCCTGTCCCCGAGCTGCAGTCACAACCGCAACCAGCGTACCCGGCCGCGCGCTGCCCCGAACGCAAACCGCCAGCCAAGTCTGCGTCCCCGGGGAGAGGGGAAAGGAAGGGTCATGAAGCTGAGGTGAAAGTGACCTGAAGGTGAGTGAGAGTTCATGACCTGGTGGGCGTTGCGGCGGACCAGGGGCACAGAGTCGCCGAAGCGCCAGCTGAGGTGGGTCAGCGCATCCCGCCGCAGGAGGTCCTCACGACCGACGGCATGTCCAGCGATCACGCCCAGACACTGCGCCGACTTGTGGCGGACAATCGAGTCATCGTCCTCCAGCAGACGACAGAGCACTGTCACCAGACCTGCCGGCGCCGGTGAGGTCACAGCAGGTCAACAAGGGTCAGGACGGTAGTTGATAGGTTATAGCAAGAATCAGTAGGGTTTACGGCATGTCAGCAGGGGTCAGGACGATGGTCGACAGGCTATGGCAAGGATCAGTAAAGGTCATGACAGGTCAGCAGGGGTCACGAGGAGTCAGGACGGTTCAGCAGGATTCAGGAAGGAACAGGAGAGGTCGCGGCAAATTAGCAAGGTCAGCGGTTGCATGAGCAGGCTTCAATAGTGATCAAGAGAGGTTTGCGCTGACCAGTGCAGGTTCAAAAGGCCAGAATGGGTCACAGGCTGGGGCTAGGATGACTCCAGAAAAATTATCGCCCAGAAGCCTACTGCGAGGGCTACGTGAAAACCATTCCATTGTCAGCTAAGCAAAACAAAACCGGACGGACCTAAATTGCAGACAATGTAGAGGACACCTAGAACACCGGCACTCGTCCAAACTGCAGACCGGCGCGTGTGGCACGGGTCGGCGCTCTGAAGTCCTCCGCGGAGAGCGCCGGCAGCCCGTCCCGTCGCCGTCACCAGATACAAGGCGAAGCGCCACCTGTCGGCGCGGCCCGCCCGAGGCCCCGGCTCCAGCCCGCCCCGACAGGTACAGGCCCTGCCACCGCGGTGCCGTTCGCCAGCGACGCGCACGACTGACCGGCCGGCGCCAGACAAATGGAGGACGCCGGCCTCATGACACCGGGCGCGCCTGCTCGCGAGTCACGCTCCGCGGGCGCACCTGCTCCGGAGTCACGCGCTGCGGGACGCCTGTTTGAGGAGTCACCCTGCAGGACACCTGTTTAAGGAGTCATGCCCTGCGGGACGCCTGTTTGAGGAGTCACGTTCTGCGGGACACCTGTTCGGCGAGTCACTTGCAAGCGCGGTGTTCGGGCACAGCCGGTCGTCCCGGACGACGGCCACCTGTTCGCGCCGTCACTCAGAGAGGTGCGCACCTGTCTGCAGACAGCAGGTGATGTGTTCGGGGTCGTGCAGGTAGTCGCAAAGCGTGAAGAGCGTGCGCTGCTTCTCATACACTTGTCTGGAGGTTAGCCACCTTGTGATGAGTCCCGGGGCCCAGCGGCCGTAGGGCACCGGCGCCTTCGTTGCATCGTAGGTGATCGGGTATTCGTCGGTAATTCGGGCTGTGGCCATGGCGCCGGGCTTGGTTGGCTTCACTACGGCTTTGGCATCGCGGAGAAATGATTTTTAGACAGAATGTACGCGAATTAAATCGAACGATTGTAATGATTCTTTGCGAAGTATACGTTTGAAGCAGATGTGTTATGTTGTTTATGCAAAGTGCGCTTTTGTGTAGTTCGATGAAGTTTCAATCACGGTTTCCCTTTTGACAGTTCAAAACACGTGCGACTTCTTTTTGAGTAGCCGACACCAGGGAAAACAATGTGCATTGCCACCGTACTTTGCCAACATCCCTCCAGCAGTGACACCCCCTCCAGCTTATTGATCGAGGCAACCTGCGCTGGCAGTGGTTCGGAGTCGGTGACAGAGCGCACGGACTCCTTCCCAGTAGAGCACCCGTCAAGACCGTTCACGATGAGTCAGGACCATCAAAACAAAACTGCAACGTCGGACAATAGTTCGCGGAAAATTTATGAGGAAATAGGCGCGGCAATTAGCGAATGGCTGCAGGCTGATTCACTGAGGAGCAGAGCCGAAGTTGAAAGCAACGCTCATGAAAGAGCTTCCGCTGCAATAACAATGATTTAATGCATGATCGCCCGAGGCACTCGCGGCTGCGAGAGAAATTTTGCCCGAGATTGCCATGGCGACGCCGGCTGACTCACGCAGGCCATGGTGGAATGGATTTTTGACAACGCGGGTTACATAGGACGCCTCCCCGCAGTAACGGCTGGGTTTTCAGAAGGCTCACATCAGCCCCGAGTCTGAACGAGACTAGCTTTTCTAACGGCATAGCGATGTCTTGTAATTGTGTTGTTCTTCAACCGAGCCAAACATTCAGATAACCATGTCACTAGCAATCTCCAAGCAATGAAATCATACTGACTTAGCGGTCTTGTCTTCGTACATGACGATATGCACGAAAGCAACTGCCATTGCTGAGAGTTTCCCTGCCGTTAACTGGCCTCACCTAGAGCTGAAAGGCTGCAAATATGCTGTTCAATATGCTACGGTTTGAACCCAGGATATTATCTCTAGCGTAAAGAGCGAACCAATGTAAAACAAAGCGAACCGGCGCCGCCAGCATCCTCGTCAGTGCTGCCACCGCGGTTGTCGTCATGCAAAGATGGCGATAGAAACAGGGGGTCTAGCGGATACTAGGCCCACACTTCCGCTGCGCGGAGGCCATTAACCGCAATCATATTTAGGGAAAGCATCCAATTTAAGTAGGATTTGTATCTCCATTTTTTCCTCAATCTCCTGCGCTCCGACAGCAGCCGCGCGAGAGCGCAGAGAGCCGCGAGCGTCCGTTTGTTTACCGGTCACATTTGGCAACCGGATGAGGCATCAGGTGATGTCTCCCGGTTTCGCTCAGTACCATCCGCCGAAGCCACGCGCCCCCCGAGCACCCTCATCGGTCCCCCTCCGAAGGCTGGGTCGCCGGCGCGTGCACACTTTCCGCCCTTCCTAGACGCGCCCCGGTCTTGCGCGTAGTGTGGCTGTCGCCGCTCCAGCTCTGCCGGCTTTAAACCCGTGCGCAGAACCAGACGCCAGACACCCCCCGCGTGCACCCGCCCACGTGCAAACGCCGCGCACCTGGTGGGCGCCCAGCTTGCCGGGCGCCCGGGCCAGGGGAGGGGGCGGGGCAGTTACGACATCGCCGCCGGTCCGCGGGGTCAGAGGTCAACCGCCGGCGGGCTGCGGACGGCGCCGCGCGGCACAGGCGCGGGTTCAGCCCGGAGATTCGACGCGGTCGACAGGGAGGGACACTGCCGGCGGTGGCAGCAGCGCTGCTCCGGCTCTGGCGCAGTACGGGCTCGCACTTACGCCTGTGACGTCACCCATCAACTGCAACTGCAGGCCACTGACGGGCCGCCGCTGCAGACGGGCCGACTCAGATGACGTCACTGGGAGCAGGCTCCACTGGCCAGGAAGACGGCAGAGGCCCTGGAGACAGCAGAGACTCGGGAGGCAACAGAGGCCCTGGGGACGACGGAAGCCCTGGAGACAGCAGAGGCCCTGGAGACAACGGAGGCCCTGGAGACAGCAGACGCTCTGGAATCGGCAGGGGCCCTGGAGACAACAGGGACCCTGGAGACAGCAGAGGTCCTGGAGACAGCAGAGGCCCTGGAGACGGCAGTGCGATTCCGACGCTGGGTTCAGTGACTGGTCCCCAGCACGCGTCCGCAGTCACTGCAGCGACCTGCGGTGACACGCCGCGTCGCACGGCCGGCCGGCCACGCGGCGGTCGCTCGCAGCCGGCGGCGGTGACGGCGGCGGCGGCGGGCCGTCCCCAGCCGCTGCCGTCCCCAGCCGCTGCCGCTGTCTGCAGGCTGCATGTTTAAAACAGCAGCCGGGCGGCGATAGGATCGGTCGGGGCTCCATCGGCGTCCGATCCCGGATCCGGCGGCCGGTCCACCGTTCGCCAGATCCCGATCGCCGCCGCCGCCGCCGCCGCCGCCGCCGCCGCCGCCGCCGCCGCCGCCGCCGCTCGGCCCGACGGTCCCCAGTTCAAGCCTGAGCGGCGGCGGGCTGGGGATGTTGTGCGGCGGCCGGCAGGGGTCACGCCCTGGGGCTGGTCGGTCGGAGAGGAGAGGTGGTGACATACCGCAGTCAAGGAACCTGTTCTCTGTACGTACAGTCTTCCCTGGCGGATGTCTGCAGTATGTGGGAGGCTTGTTTTCTGGGTGCAGCTCATGTATGTTTATGTACCATGTTTGCGAGCAAGAAATACCAGCATCATATATTCTGATTTGCCACGTTGAGGGTGTCTATTAACTCGAAGTTTGACGATGGTTCCACGAAGTGGCAAAGGACGAGCAAGAGACAATGTCATTCGGACATCACACTACCTTCGGTATGTCCGCAAAACCGCATTGGGGCCACAAAACATTCTGGGGTCGTCCAGGCAGCTCCGGGGACCCATGGTCAGCCACAATGTGCAGTTCAGTCATTACAAATGACATGCCTGACCTCTGACCTCGCCCGTTGACCCCTGCCGTAGCCTGTGACCCCGCGGCCGAGCGCCGCCGCCCGACGCCTCCGCGACGGCCATCACCATATCGGATCACCTGGCCGCAGCTCATTGGTCCCGCCAACAGGTGGGCTAATGAGCTCAGCCAATCGGCGCTCGAGGACGCCGGCGACAATGGCTGGCCCCGCCGCACCGCCGGCTACGTTTACGGCCGTGCTGCCGCAAACCCGGCTCATATTCCGGCCCGCGCAAAATGCGAGGTCGGCGCCGGCGCCGGCGCCGCCAGGCCGGCAGGTGGAGGCAGCTGCCGCCATCACCTTGAAGAGCACCGGCATCTGTTGCAATAGCAATCGTGATGGCTAAAATTTATCAAAAATAGTTCGTCTGGCACTAAAACTCTTCGAGGGCTTCCACGCATATGGTGGGAGAAGCGCACAAGGGCGGGACGAGACCGCCACAGGCCAGTCTTGAAGCCCTGCCCGGCTGCATGGCCGGGGATTCATTTCTTGGAAGAAGGAGAGATGGCCAGAGCTGGGCGTGACGTCACAAATGTCAAGTGCGTGCGGACGAAACGACTGGTCACTGCTTCCTTTGCAACCTCGCGTGAGCTGCAGCGTCAGCCGCCCGAGTTGTCAGAAGGTGCGGTCTCGCATACCGGCTGCCCTGGTGCCGGCGCCTGCAGTTCCAGCACGGAGTCCTCATCGAGGCAAACACTTCGCCCGCGAGGACCACGTGCCACCGCCGGTCCTCGCGGCGCACCGCTCGGAGTGGACACGCGTTCCTCGCGAGATACTCTCCGGGGGAGCCGGAGCGTCTCGCGAGGACAACGGAGCCGGGGAGCTCCCTCAGCACCGGCAAGAGCCAGGCGGGGGCGGGCGGGAGCCGCGCGGAGCGGGTGGGAGCCGGGCGGGAGCCGGGCGGAAACCGGGCCGAAGCCGGGCGGGGGCGGGCCTGACGCACCGCCCCCCGCGTCGGCCGTCGTCCGAGCGATGCCCGCCAATTCGCGACTGGACACGGAGATCCATCGGTGTGATGGTTGGCAGCTGCGGCCTCCGGGCCGATTGCGGCCGGTTCTGGCGGCCATTCGTCAACGCCGACGGCGCCCGTCACCGGCCGGATGCCGGCCGGACCCGGCCGGTGCCGTCTGTCGGCGGCACCGGCCGGCCGCGCGTCATCGCCTCCTCCCGCCGCCGCCGCCGGCACTCGTCGCCCGACCGCTCTCGGAGGGTGGCTGGAGGGAGGATGAGCTAGAGACGCGCACTGCTGAGGCGGCCGGCCTGCTGCAGCGCTCGCCGCTGTGCCCGGGGACGCTCGCGCCGTCGTCTTCATGGTGCAGCGGAGGATCCCATCACCGCCACCACCAGTCGCCACCACCAGTCACCACCACCAGTCACCACCCCCAGTCACCAGTCACAACCATCAGCCACCGCCACCGGTCACCACCCCCAGTCACAGCCATCAGTCACCACCACCAGTCGCCAACACCAGTCACCACCACCGGTCACCACCACCAGTCACCACCACCAGCCACCAGCACCAGTCTGCCACCGACCCGCTCCCAGCAACAACGGAACGCCGGCGGCGGCGACTGGCGAACCCGTCGCCGAGTGGAGGCCGACAGGGCTGGTGACGGACTTCTGTTCAAACAATCATGGATAAAGGGGAGGCTTCTCGCCAGGACTTGGTACAAGCTTGGGGAGGGGGGGGGGGAGTACCAGTCTGGAGGGACCTTGGCCCTTTCATGCCTACCCAATCCCCTATCTATTTGACCGAAGATGCCTTCCACCGCTGCCGGTGTCCGTAGACCCCAGTGTACTGTCAGGAGGCTCGTTCACCGTGTGACACGGCACTCCAAGCGCCCCACGAGCGACTGCGCCGCGTGACTTGCTCTGCGGGTCAACGCGGCGCACGGGAACTCCACCCCAGGTGAACCGAGGCGAGCGCAGCTACGACCCCAGCTGAACCGAGGCGAACGTGGCCACCACCCCAGCTGAACCAAGGCGAACGCAGCTACCACTCCAGCTAAACCGAGGCGAGCGCAGCTACCACCCCAACTAAACCGAGGCGAACGCAGCTGCCACCCTAGCTAAACCGAGGCGAACGCAGCTGCCACCCCGGCTAAATTGAGGCGAACGCGGCTACCACCCCAGCTAAGCCGAGGCGAACGCAGCTGTCACCCCATCT